TGTTCAGCTGTTCCGCCCTATTTCTTGAGTTCTGTGGACAGTCGCTTCTTAAATGCCTCGCAACAATCTTGCTTTGTGTTTCAGAGGCGTTAGCACTCGAAATAACATTTTAAAGCAGCCTGCCATTCGTCTATTTTCTACACCCATACAAAAAGTCAAAGACGTGGGTGCCCATCGCACCTTTTAGGGGTCAAACAAGCGGTTTTGGTTGCTCTTAGGTGTTCAGCCTCAAAATGTCTCCATCGGGACCTTTTGCGGTACCACTTACGGTATTGCGAGCGGGACGCGACGAATAATGTATTGTCTTAAATCCCACCGAATGTTCACGATTGTTCAAATTTGTTTTCAACTTACGCATTATTAAATACTGCTTGTTCTCTAGCCTACAACTGCAAAGAGAGAAAACCTGAAAACGTTTAAGTCTACCTTCGAAGCAAGCGCACACTTAGCTGGCGCTTATCCCCTTTCCCCGGGATGAGATGCTTGTCCTTTGCAGGGTTACCCGGCCCTTAGGGTAAGTTATCCCCCTAGGGTAACCCTGAAGATTTTTTTTAAATTGTTGAAAACAGTCTTTTCAATTGAAAGAATAAATTACTTTTAGATCAATTTTCGTTCTTTTGTTTTCGTTTTAARTTTTACAGTTTTATTTAAAATAAAATAAGGAATATCGCTTTTATGGATAGCATTTGTCTGCAATCATTCAGCTATTTTCACGCGCTGATCATATCAAGAAAACGTTTGAAAACGGTCAATTTCGTTTCTTTAGTATTCATTGGAATTAAATTACCATTAGTAATATTTCTTAATCTTCCTCGAAACATCAAAGAAATGAGAAAACGTTGCCATTTTTTGGACGTCCTCCAACCACTGCACAGTAATGCCTGATAGTGTCTGAGAAGCTCGGTCAATCAGATTGCGACATTTGTATAAGCATGGTTGTATCATTTTACTTAGGGACGGACCATTATTTCCTTGACTGGCGGGGGGTGGGGGGAGGGGACGGTGTTGGGCAATTTTCTCCACGATTTTCTTTTCAGCAGCGCCCCTCCCCTAAAAAAAAAAATGGTTCGCCCCTAATATGGAATATCAGACCATATTACTCATGAAAAGTCCCCTAATGGTGAACAAGTCAATTGCGTGTGTCAGTAGCTGTTATTGCAGTTATCAA